TTGCAGTATGTTAATTGACACTGACCTTGGTCTGTGCTTTTGCTTCTCCTGACTTTGCTCTCTCCTCCCAATCCTCCAGACTGACTTCCTCCTCTGGCTCTTCTGAAGGAAAAAGGCAATCACTTTTAAAACTCAGTAAGTTTCAATGATCTTTAACAATAAGGTACAAAGTATACTACAGATTCTGTACCAAAAAAAACAGTGTCAAACACAAACTCGAAGCATGTCTTCCTGACCCATTGGTTTAATCAAAACCCAGTGCAGTGAAAACAGAGTGACCAAATTACTGAAACTGCTGACCATCTGTTTCTATTTAAGGTTAATGTGACACACACAGTATATGATTGTGGGATTTTTCAACTCATCTCTAGTTTTAAATGACTCTTCATAAACGGTTTGATAATCCCGTCAGTGGCATGAGTTAGATCCTTCCAGAAACAGTCTCTGGCCGTTTCTCAATCTCGAGGATTCTGGCTTCCAAGCCAATATTTCAAGGATACTACATCATTGAGTGCCGCCGAAGGACTGTTCCAATCTCCAGCCTACTTGGAATTCCACAGAGGCCGCATCCATGGTTTGGGGGAAATATCGAAGCTGCAAATAGGTAGACTTCGCGTCCTTAAAATCCCAACAACGCTTTGCGCACGGAACAATTTCAAAAACCCTTGCGGAGAATGGCTAAACCGACGCAGCACACATTTAAATGTAAGTATGTAGTGTGGCGTAGAACATGTGTTGGTAAATATGTTACTTTGTTACATTTGTTTGTTATCACCAAAAATGTGTTCCGTGAAAGTAAAGCAAGTACATAATTAGATAGACATCGTGAGGTATTTATTTTCGGTACAGTTTATGTTGAAACCGTTAGAGAGAGTGGCATACTTGTTAGCCTGTTCCATTCTTCTTTGTTTTCCGAAGCCGTGGCTTGGAAGTATACTTGCTTCATTTCTGAAGGAAGTGACTTGGAAGTATGCGACTACCAAGCCAGTATCCTCGCGATTGAGAAACGGCCATGGTCTAACCATAGGTCTAGCTCACGCATGGGCAAACGAAGGCCCACGGGCCACATACGGACTTTTTAATCCGGCCCGCCGAATATTGGTACAAAATTGTCCAAATTATAGTAATGACCGCATTAATTTGGCCTTTTTCCTGCAACCTCGTAATTTCAGTTTATTCCACTAGATGGCACAATTGACCACTCGGCAATCCGGCAGGATCTAAGAACCGCATACGTCACCCTTGCAATGGAGGGGGCTGAGATTAACCTGAGCTGAGCAATCATGGCGAGTACATTGAATACAAGTTGTAGAAAGTAGTAGCGCTGAGCAAAGCGACTAAAAAGCGACCACACACTTATAAAAAAACACGTATATAAAGTCAGGCAACACTAACCAGCTTAGTGTGATTCTGTTTATTTTACCTTACTTTAATAACCATCCGTTCACCGTTATTGACCATTGTGAAGAGGCAGATGTTTTCCTGTTGTTTTGTATTATTGCAGCTATCGGATGGAATCAATACATGGGCTACATGTGGCCATCACAAGTAAAATCATAACGAAAACTACGCCGGTAAAATGTGCCGGCTTATGCCACAATATGATATCAACAAGTAGTCAATATAGTCTGATTAGCTTTGGTTGCTATGCTAACATCACCTGTAGAATGCTAGAGAAACAGCGTTGTGATGCCAAACAGCGTCAATTCAGGCTGACACACATTCACTGATAGGGAATATTTCTCAGCTGCTTGTGTGACAGTCGGACAGTGAATACTTTCCAGCGGCCGCTGCCGTGAGTTAACGGGAGAATAATCTCCGGTGGACGAGCCGCGCTCCAGCGGGCGGTAATGCCACTGAAACACATTAATAAACAATGCACCATGGCACTCTGGAGAAAGGTATAAGGTTGGAGAAGTAGTTATTTAATTTAATCTGGCTTCGTATGATTAAAAACTACCCGACGCAGTCCTCTATTGATGTTGTGAGCGGTGTTGCGGAGAAAATCAGCGACGTAAAACGCGGTGTGGGTCTTAAGAACTTCGAAGGCACGTAAACGGTTACGTCATGACGCAAATGATGACAAAGGATGACGCAATAATTCACCTTTGAACCTAATTCACATTTGAACCTGCATTTAACAATGAGTGGACCAAAGAAAAGAAAAGTTGACAATGAGTGCAGAGTGTTTAAAGAGGAGTGGAGAGCGAAATATTTTTTCACCGAAGTGCGATCAAAGGCTGTATGTCTTATTTGCCAAGAAACCGTTGCGGTATTCAAGGAATACAATATCAGCCGCCACTTTTCCACCAAGCATGCTAACTATGCTAGCAAACAGTGGCGGCTACTGCTCAGAGGTTGGCAGCCAATTTAAAGACTCAGCAAAATATTTTTCTCCAACAAACTTCTATTCAAGAGTCAAGCACCAAGGCAAGTTATTTGCTAGCATTCAAATTAGCAAAGGCCAGCAAACCTTTCTCCGAAGGGGAGTTTTTGAAAGAATGCATGGTAGAGACAGCAGGTCTCTTGTGTCCAGAGAGCAAAAACTAATTTGAAAAAATGACTTTATTACGCAGGACAGTGACTCGCCGTGTAGAACTAATTGACGAAGATTTGGCCAGCGAGTTAAACAAAACAGCTGAGTCATTTAAGTTATATTCGTTAGCACTGGACAAAAGTACCGACATAAAAGACACCGCTCAGCTCTTAATTTTTTCCTGCACTGCATAATCCATCAGGAAGCCCTGTGTAAATCTGTATTGCAACTTGATCATGTTGTGAAGCCAGTCGTAAAACTCGTTAACTGTATACGAGCGAGGGGACTTCAGCATCGTCAATTTGTTAAGTCCCTTGAGGAAACGGATGCTGATCACCAGGACTTGCTTTATCACTCTCATGTCCGCTGGTTAAGTTTAGGGAAAGTATGCCGACGTGTGTGGGAGCTCAGCTAATTTTTGGAGTCAATCGGGAAAGCTGACGATTTTCCAGAGCTGAGCAACGCAGATTGGCTTTGTGATTTTGCTTTTGCTGTGGACATACTGACACACATGAATGAGCTGAACATGAAGCTACAAGGGAAAGATCAATTTGTGCACGAAATGTACACAAATGTGAGAGCCTTCAAAGCCAAGTTGACTTTATTCTCAAGACAAATGTCAAACAAATCATTCGGTCATTTCACCACACTAGCGACACTGAAAGAGGCCCCTCGACGTGTGAAGAAATACAGCAAATCGCTGGACGACCTGCACGGAGAATTCTGCCGTCGCTTTTCTGATTTTGAAAACATCGAAAAGTCACTTCAGCTGGTTTCATGTCCCCTTTCACAAGACTGTGAAACAGTGCCGCAGGAGTTGCAATTGGAACTGATTGATCTTCAATGTGACTCTGTCTTAAAGGAGAAGTTCAACTTCCTCAAACTGGAGGAGTTTTATGCTTCACTAAGCGAAGCCAAGTTTCCAAACATTAGGAGGATGGCACAGAGGATGCTGGTGTTGTTTGGCTCTACCTATGTGTGTGAGCAGACGTTCAGCGTGATGAACATCAACAAATCATGCCACAGATCCCAGTTAACTGATGAACACCTCAGATCTGTCCTGAGAATCGCCACAACCAAACTGACACCACACTTTGATGCACTGGCAAAAAAGGGTGACCAACAACACTGTTCCCACTGAAATGAAATTTAAGTTTTCTTAACTTTTTCAGGTAATGGCTTGTACTTGTAATTTTTATTTGTTCACACAAACACTCTCCATCCATCTGCTACCCGCCTGTCAAATTTTAAAACTCATATTGGCCCCCGAGCCTAAAAGCTTGCCCACCCCTGGTCTAGACCCTATGGGAGTGTGGGGGGCTGGTGGGTTTATATTTTCTACTTACAGCTGCACCTCTCCCTTAACATGTACAAAATCACGATGGGGTCTAATAACCAAAGACTATTCGCATTTCACCATGTGCAAATGACGATAGATATTCTTTAGTCCAAAAAAAATAATACATCTCTCCTGATTCAAACAGGGAAGACCAGACCAACCCTGGGCAAATATAAATGTCTGCAGACAAAGACGGAATTCAAGCACCCCAACACCGGTTTCATATATTGTGATCTAAACCAAAGTAAAATGGGAAACATTTATTAAGAGATTTTTTAAATGTTCTTCTTTTTCTTACTCAAAGCCATTTTAGTCAGCTTTCAAAACACATACATACAGACACATTAAGGGTACCACCTGCTCAGGGAAACCGCATTCACACACAGTAGCTTAAGAATCTTGCCGAAGCACAATATGACATGTTGACTGCATGGGGATCAAACCACCGACATTCCAATTGGAGGAAGACCATGTAACCCCCTGAGCCACAGCTACCAATTAACTGAATCAAAACCCAGTGAGACTTTGCTTTCTACTGGCCATGAAAGACTGGAAACCCTTCAGCAAATGAAAGAGCAGGATAAAGAGTGAGTGAGTGTGAGTGAGTGAGTGTCCAGGCAGGTCTTTTCCTCATTGTAGCGTCCAGAGAGGGGGGTGGGGGGATATATCCAGTCTCTGATAGTGTTACGTTATTATGCTGTGAGTGCTCTCATAGTTTCGGAAATTGTATGTATATATATATATATATATATGTGTGTGTGTGTGTGTGTGTGTGTGTGTGTGTGTGTGTGTTTATGTCCGCATCTGTTGCCTGTTATTGTCTCATCATACCGCACTGTGAATGAATTAAAAGTAAATATACAGGTCATCATGAACACAGTTCTGTCAGACAGAGGGCTGTGCCTCCTGTCATCATTAATGGACGTCTCTTTAAAATGACCGCTCAGAGGAGAGGATTTTTCATTTCTCTAACCGCCTGCTGCTTCCCCTCCTCTCTCCCCCTCCTCGGCTCCTCTGCTCGCATCTCCTGTGGGCGGGACTAAGACACGAGGATAGGAGTCGAGGATAGGAGTCGAGGAGGGGAAATTAGTGAAATGAAAAAGGCCCCAAGTGATCTAAAAAAGGTTAACTTACCATTTTAGAATCTAACTCGTGGTGCGTCAGTGCCAAGACTTTATCTACGCTGGCAGCATCTGCAAAAGTGATGAAGCCAAAGCCCCTGTTGAGAAACGATACAACAGCACATGACATGTCTAACATTATATAAGTTATGCTTCACATTTATTTTTTGTCACATGTCATGACAAATTCTCTAATCCCCAGTCTGAGGTATACCTGCCCCATGTATCCTCCAGTATTTACATATTTATTTTCCCTGTTCTATTTTCCTCACTTGTGTCGAAATATTACGTGACATTTTCTTAAATTAATTTAATTTAAAGAGCAATGTATAAATGATTGTGGTCTCTGCCCACAGTTTAGGAGAGCCAATTGATTTTGAATTGTTTTTCACTTTGATTTCAAACCCAATTACCTTATGCATTACATTCACACATAAATAAGGGAATTGTTAGTATGAGAAAATGTTCTCCAAAGCTTCAATGTCAAACTGCACAACACTTTCATTCAAAAGTAAAATAACTGAATAGTATTCATAGGACTATAAGAGGTAACATAAATACAAATTATTGTTTTTACCTGGAACGTTTTGTCGTTGGGTCTCTCATCACCATACATTCTCGGATTTCCCCAAACTTACAAAAATATTCTTTAAGGCTATCTGTGGGGAAAAAAGATGGAGGGTAGTCTCAAGGTGTTTTATTTACTTCCACGTTAGATTTTTTAAAAATGCATTCGTGTTGACAGCAGTGAAGGTGTCCTGTGTTAAGCAGGGGTCGAATGGAGGACTTGAAATCAAAATAACCTTGCGCCGTTAGCGCGCGCACACAAACACAGTTCTTACCTGGTGAAGTTTGCCAGCTGAGGCCACCGATAAACATTTTCCTGCCAAGGGAAAGGCGACAGAAGTCAATACATATATTCCAAATCGGCCATTGTGATGTTGAGCGAAGTTATTGACCGTTTAGAGAGACGTTCAAAAGCTGGGGACAAAAATAGAGGGAATTCAACTACGAGGCAGCCCGACAGCCGTCTTCAAAGCCGGGCTAGAAGCAGCCCTTTCTCCGCGGAGGACCAGGGTCATCCAACTTCCATTCAAAACAGCTGTCAGTTTAAACCTACCGCAGTATAGGCAGCGGTACATACCGGGTAAAAACAAATATTGAGTGGTCGTCTTACTGTAAGAACACAGTCTACAATTCGGCATGTACTACACTAAAAACGAAATCTTAGTTCAACTTTTAACTCGGGTTCGGCTGTTAGAGAATATTCACCTCCACCTAAAACACAGCCTGGGCAAGGAGCACTGTGAGCTAAATGCAATTTATTAAAATAAAATGAGTCCAAGGCGAGGGAATACCGGACTTAGCTTAACATTTGTTTGAACTGAACTCTTTTTAATACGGTGTAATATTGCCATTAAGTAGGGCAGCGAATGACCCACACATTTCTAAGCGAAGTTTGGCATTATGTTCCCTCCACACACGCACTAACTAACGCCACATATCGGGGTCAGCCAAGCGTTTACACTGCAAAAGGGGGCAGGCCCGTCTGAAAATATAACCAAACAAAGCTGTTGTTGACGGGACCCGGAAGATAGTGGAGCAAAATCAAGCTGCATTTTTTTTTTTAAGAGTGACAATTCCCCTGTTTGTAATGACAGGCTTTAACCTACCCCGGGTCGTGCTGCGGTTCAGTCGGGCTTCCAGACGTGGCTTGGCTGCCGTCCCCTTCCATGTTTTGACCCAGCTACAGGCAGTGAGTGACGGATACACACAGGCGTTAGGGTCGGCGGATAGAGCGGAGCTACGGTGTCAGTGAGCCGGGAATGCAACGCTCCGTCACACGTGGGATCAGTCGGGTCTGTGGTCCCTCCTCCGCCGTCACCGACCAACCACACTGACGTCACTTTTCCACAACCCGCCCATATTAACTGCTTGTTCCGTTAATCCTGTCAGCTGTCATTTAGCATTTAGGGATGGGGTACTTGGGTCAGACGAAGGTACGTTTTACAACTGTCATATCATAATCAGAAATCCTTTATTCGTCCAAGGTCAGTGTATGGTCAGTGTATGTTTCGGTCATTGGATTTTCTTTTCACAAATGGATATTAAAAAACAAAAAACGACTGGATATTTGATTTTCATTTTAAAATTGAAAAACCAAAATTGAAATACAAGGCGTTTTTTATGGGATTAGTTTTGTATCATAAAGATAAAGCAACACTTTCTCAGAATAAAGCAAAACTATAGTGTTAACAAATCCAAGAAAAATGTGTAGACATAATGAGTGTGCACACTTATCTATCCTATCCATGTGAACCTGTTTTATTTGTGATGACCTCTCATCCTCTAGGGGGGTCCGGGGGTATGTACCCCGGTTTGGAGCTATTTCAGGGTCATAAGTTTTGATCATTCAAAAAAATACAATTTATTTGAAAGTTCAAGTTTTTATCCTGAACTTTGAAAAATACAATGATGTATTCAAAATAAAAATAAGTATTTGAAATCATTTTTCAGGTTGAATATTATTTTTGATTCAGTTCAGCAATTATTTTTAATAAAATATTTATTTTTCAGATTTCACTTTTATACATATTTTGCTATTTGAATCCTTATTTTTTTCAGTTACATTTTTTATCGTTTTCAGATTCAAAACAATTATTTTTTCAGTTTCAAATCTTGTTTTTTCAGGTTTCACATTGCTTTTCACCTTCAGATCGTTTTTCGCTTTCAGATCTTTTTTTTCGTTTTCAGATCTTTTTTTTTCGCTTTCAAACTTTTGACCCTGATGTTGCTTTGGGGGGGCGGGGCTTAGCAAAGAGTAGTTTGGCATC